CGGTTATTTTTGAGGATGTGGGGAGACAGGTGTTGGCAACCGGGGGGAGGAAGCTGCCCCACGAGCTCTGTGTCCTGATCAGTAAGTAAACGCCTCGACTTCCCGACTTGCGGCTCGCTGGAGCCCCTCCGTCTCACAGTGAGGAAATTCTGGGAGGGGCCTTGGTTTTTGAGTCTGCTGCCGAAGCGAGCACCCCCCACGCACTCACCCGCCCGAAATTCCTTGTGGAATTTCACCGAGGCCTGTCCAGCGGGAGCGCCTTCCCCTTTGGGCTTTCTTTCGCTCCAGCTCCTCTTGGGTTGGTCATCCTGATTCTCTGCTGATTCTTGCAGCTCACTGTTGCAGAAACCTGTCCTCATTAAGTCTCTGGTGTAACGAGCCAGACTGTGCAGCCCGTATTAGGGAGCAGCTGTGTGTGGGGGTTGGTAGCACACGGAGCCACACAAACAGAGCCTGGTGGCCTTTGTTTCCCTTTCCCACAGGCAAAGTGAGCGCAGATGACATCAAGCGGGTGGCGACAAAGATGCTGCGAAGGAAGCCGGCTGTTGCTGCCCTGGGGGACTTGAGGGAGCTGCCCAGCTACGAGCACATCCAGGCCGCCCTTTCCAGCAAGGATGGGCGGCTTCCCAGAGTGTACCGGCTGTTTCGATAAAGTTGCCGCTGCCCCAGCGAGAACTTTGGTTAAGACAACCCATTTCTTGCCAAGATACTTTTGTCTGCAAGAAAGGCAGCTTCTGCCACTCTGGGCGTGGGAGCATGGTTGGCAGAACCGTTTTCATAAGACTCAAACTATATGAGAAGATGGTGGCTATGCAGCTGAGAAGAGTTGCCTCCTAAAAATCAGATTGCAATTTTGGTATCAAAAATTCCTGTCTTTGTTGACATGTCTTAAATTAAGGGACTATAACCATGTGCCCAAGACCTGGTACAGTCCTTGGCAGAGAGTACAGATAAAAGAGTTAATGAGAGTGCTGCACTGTTACCTTTGTTTCCAAAACCTAGTTTAAACTAAATCGCAGTTGTATTTTCAAGCTGTAGCAACAAAAAATGTGTTAGTTTAAGGTCAGATTTATTCAGTTTTCTGCTTTAGTTGCAGCAGAGTTTTTGAGGTGCTTTTTCCATTATTCTTGACCCAAGATGAGAGTATTTCTCGTAATGCTCTAGCGCCACATATGTGGGGTTAAGCCATCTGGTCCAGTGTGTTGTGTGCTTGGATGTTTCTTCCCCGATCTGGGTGAAATTCTGTTCAGCAGGGAGATGGACTGTGCAAGTTGTGCTCTACAGTACTGCTGACTCACAAAATCCTCCTTTTGCAAATGCCACAAAGAATTTCAGTTGTGCTGAAATGATATGATGCTGTTCCAATTGCAGAGGCAGGAGAGGACTGCTTGAAAATAGCCTGAAGCATCAGCTAAGTATTTGCCTGGACAGTCGTCTTCCTTTTTCCCTTCTTGGGGGATTCTCTTCCAACCTCCCCCTCTCTAGCAGGATGGCCAATATATGGCTGCTCAGTCAATCGCTGCTCTCCCTCATCCCGTGGGGAACAATTAACTCCATGGCCAAGGTGGAAATCTTTCTTTGGGGCATTTACTATATCTGGAATTTGCTACGAAGCAAGACCTCTCAATGCCCTGTAGGTGTGTGCTTGGTAAGGGACCGACCTCTGATTTCTTTCATGGAGTCACCATGTCACAGACTGGAAGGGTGCTCTGGCACGTGGGCCACTGCCACAATCCACCACTACAGACAACTGTGTAATTAGAGGATTCCTTCTGAATCTTGTAATTAATGTAATTACGTCCCACAGGAAAAGGAAAAATGTCTACTAGGTTTGCATGTTGGAAATAATACTGGAATCCCATTGATAAGGATTTAAGCTAAGCTGCAGGTAGGAATATAGGGTGTATCAGCAATGCAGAGATTAAAGAAGCAGTTGGCACACTAGAAACACACTTTTAAGTTCTGAATTGTCCTTTATTTATTTCAAGGAATTCTGAACCCAAACAACCCAGGAAAATGGTGGGTGATTAAACATGAGGAGGGGAAAACACTTCTAACTTTATCAAACCATTGGGATTAGCTAAAATTTGCTCTTGCAATTGAATACTGATTTTTGCAGCCACTCAAGGTCCTATGTTGAGTGAAACTAGTTTCCACTGTCTCTTTAGTTAATGGATTTTTGAAAATGTAGCTGATGGAAGCTGGCTTGTCCTGATCTGTAATTGAAGGCAAAAAAACGCTACAATCCCCTCCCTGCTGCTCCTTTCTGAGTCTTCCCTTGCCCCTCTGGCATTTCAGAAATCTGCTTTTCTTTCTAGAATTCTTAGGAAAAAAAGCTTTTTGGGGCTCAAGTAGACTCAGTGGCTTCTCTATATTTAGCTTCCTAGCTGCAACTGAAGAATGAACACAGAACAATGCTTAGAATGTGTTCCTTTGTTCCCAAGATGGTCCTCAGAAGTGTCTTCCCAAACAAACCTAAGAAATGCATATGTGGCTGTAACAGAAAATGCCAACAGCCGGCAGATTTATTTCAGGATCCTCTGCAAGCAGCAGGACACGAGTTAAGTGCGACAGCTTGTTCATCAGGAAGAAGCTACACTTGATAAATCTTGATCGAATCTGTTGACCGTCCAGCCACTTCCAGCCTCAAAAGAGCCCTTCACTTTTGTGGTCCTGCTGGAGCCATTCCAGCATGATTTCAGAGAACGAACTGGAGGAGGTCTCACCCACAAGCCCTTTGCCTCTGCCTCTGCCTCAAAACTCTTGGGTGCGTTTGGTCAGGAAACAGAACAAACGGTGCTGGATTTCTGGTTTTTTAGAGCGTGTTTTTTCTGAAGTTGCCTCGTGATCCGTCTCTTTATGCCAGTCAAATAAAGTTCTCGATCAAACAGGCCTGCAGCCAGTGGGATGCTGTAGGTGAATGGTACAAAGCAGGAACCAGCTCATGAAAACTTATAATACGTGCTGTACTGTTGTACAATCCCTGAGAAATCATGAGGACTAGAGAGAAAAGGATGTGGGGCCTGTTCCAATAGTTTGGCATCCTGATATTTCATCTTTGCACAGTCTACAAATTCTAGCAGTAATTAGATTAAATTGACAAGTTTTCTTCCCTTAATCAGGGGTCAGCAACCTCTCCACACAATGTGGACCGCTGCACAATGGCACAGATGCCAAAATGAAAACACGCCTTTTAAAAATTAATCACAAAATCGTGAAAGATTTTACTCAGTTGGGTTATTCCAATGAGCTTATTTTAAACAAGAACAGCCACAAATATAAAGCGTTTTATTTTTTTAAATGGAGGTTAGTATTACCACCCAAATGCATTGTGGGCTTCATATCCCTGATCATGTCCCTGAGCCCCAGTTTCAGTTGTTAGGATTAAAGGGAGCTCAGCAAGAGATTCCAGGTGCCAGGTGGCTGCATTCTGCTTTCTGGGAGTAGAAAAAGGCAGCTGTTCCATTTCTGGGGGCCACAATCACGGGTCTGGGTCTGGTTCTGGTAGACGTAGCTCTATCCCAGTCCACGGCCACCAGCGTTGACTGCAGCCAAGGCCTTCACGCTCTCCTTGGCTCCTGCTATACGCCCTGAGGGAGAAAGGCTCTGCTCTGGCTTCCTCACCTGGCCTCTAATATACAAACTCAGACTCAAACTCAGGTGTTGCAATGCCAATGCATCTATGGGAATGCTGGAAGCCTCAGGGTGAAGCCTTTTCAAAAGACATCATCTGCTGCATCTCAATAAAAGCCATACTCACTTGTCTCTTCCAGGTCTCACTTTGACACGAAATAAGCCATACACAGGGCGGTGATCTGATGTTTTGATCCCAAAGCAAGAAGAGTACTTCACAGCATGGATTTCATTCTGGTGGCGGCTTCGGTAGATGACGCGGTCCTAAAAAGGGAGGAAGATGAGCAGAGCAGCCAGGGCAGAGAAAACTGACAAACCCACCTTGGAGGTTAAGGAGAAAGGTTCTCTTGCTCCTGGGCAAAGAGAAATTCCTCAGATCAGAGAGTCTTCCCCTCGTCTCTGGTGTGGGAGGCCTTCCAGAAGCTATGACAGTGTAGATGCAACAGGGCTTCCCTACAGGAGCAGGAGAACGTAGCCTTGGTGGCTGCGGAACATTTGGAGGGGACCTCAGAGCTGCTGTGGGCTGAACCTGACTTTGGGGAAAGAGCTTTGAGGTCAGTCTTTGTTGGTTTTAAGCTAGGTGAGCTTTCCGCTACACCTGTCATGTGCTTCTTCCTTGCCCCTGGAACAGGGAGATTCATGTAGTAACTCTAGGCTGGCAAGGAGATGGAAGCAGGGGACTTTCCATGGAGCTTCCTTTTCTAGAGCGAAGGAGGGTGTCCAGGAATGGAGTTGCAGTAGCCAGGAATAAAAGATTTGGAATAATCCCTAGGGAGCACTTGTGAGGTGTGAAAAGCTGCAGGAGCCCCAAGTAAAGTTCAACAGGAAAACCTGTCAGAATGAAAAGCACAATAGAAAAAGGGCTTTTTCTGAGGGTGAAACCATTACTCACCGGTAGGGGATGGAGGCCTCCCATCCACTGTAGGAAAGGAACCTTCATGCCAAGCCCAATGTTCCATTTTCCTACAGAGAATGAAGGAGGGAATCCTGAAAAGTTTAACATATCAAGGAGGCCAGGAGATTCTGCAAGGACTCCAGAAGATCACGGGTGGCTTTCTGCTGCTCAAGGGAGCTGGATGGGAGCCGTCTCTGAGGCGGCTACACTCCTCAGAGAATGGGCCAGCAGCTGAGGCTGAGGGGAAGCAGGGAAAATCGCGTCTCCCTCCACTAGACTAAGGGCATGCCGAGGAAATGCGAGCTATTATGTTTAAACCATTTGTCAATGGAGCAGGAACTTCTTTGAAAGTAGTATCCAGATTAAATGACTTCAAATCAGACACCGCCCAGAAGGAAATAAGTGGAAACAACTGTCTTTAAAATTCATTTGCTTGCCTGAGCTGCATCCTGACCAATTGGACAATGAAAATGCAGTGTTGACCAAAATAATAGAAGCCAGATCCACTTGCAGTTATTCTGAGGTGTGAGTTGCATCCCCTTTCTGGGCCTCAAAATGTTGGAACAAAATAACAGCTTGTGTTTCCTCACCCTCATAACAGTGGCACTTAGGGCTCCAACCACTTTTCCAAGCCCACAGATGCTCTCTACCCTTCTGGGAACTACTGCCCATCTTTCAGCCTTGTCTATGGGAGAAAACAACGAACCTATTTTCGGGGTACCCTCCTCCACAATAGCAAAGATGTCAAGTGGCCAAAACAGTAGCTGGGGTGCATAAATTCCAGAGCCCAAACTAGCAGATTCATACTGAAACGATGAACTTTTTGTATTCTGGATCAAGCCAGCCCTCTGCCACTGTTTCTACATTGGTATCATTCCATCTGCCTCTAGGAAGGACCTTCCCAAACTGGGCACTTTGGGGGGATGACTGTAATGCAACTGCCTGGATGAGTCCCTTAGCAACATTTTTGCAAGTGGTTGGCCCTTGCCACCTCCTTCCTAGGGCTTAGCGGGAGGGACTGGCCCAAGGCCACCCAGCTGGCTTCGTGCCTAAGGCGGGACTAGAATTCGTGGCCTCTGGTTTCTAGCCTGGCGCCTTAAACCAAGGTGGTTCTCAAATATTGATTGGGGAAGCATAATAAGATAACGCCTCTGGTGGCTTCGTGAATGCATCCGTGTACTTTCTCGGCAATGATACAGAAGTAAAGAAGGCAGGACTAAAACTCAGGGTCTCCCAGTTTCTTACCCATTGCCTGCCTTTAACCACTAGCTGGCTCTCATATAACAATACAAAGAGGAAAAAGTAATCCAACGAAGTCATCCTTCTATCTTTACCTGACTTTTTTGGTCAGGCAGACCTGTCTTTGGCTTTATACCAAGAGTCTAGGCCGATGTAGGCAACCTTTTTGGCCAAAGGGCACTGTGTGTAGCCACCCTCGCCCTCACTCTCTCTCCCTCGAGCACATACAGCCTCCTGAGGCAGAAAGACAGGAGAGCCAAGCTCACTTCCCTCAAAGCAGATGAGCAGGAGGGGGGGCTGAAGCCTTCTTGTCCACGATTCTAGCAGTGAACCATCTTTGGGTGTCTGACTGGGGCTGAGGCTTGGGGGGGCATGTTCAGTGGAGAGAGAAGCACACCAAGGAGACCCTCATAGTCCATCTCCCTCCTCGCCCTACTGCACTCTTGGCAAGCCTCTAAACAGCTGGGAGGGAGGGAGGACAGGGTACAGCTGAAGGGCTTGCTTGCCTGTGGGGGTGGGGGACAGAATGCTTGGCCTCTGGGTGGCCTTTTCTGCCGGAGGGGTTTCCCTGGGGGGATGCTTGTTTGCTGCCCCCCGAAGCCCTTACCGTATACGAAGGTGTCCTCTGCTTTGAGGTTGTGTCATAGGTGTCCTGTCCAACATCAAACTTGTAGGAAGGACGGAAAAAGATGGGGGCCTCTTGGAACCCCTTAAAAATAGAACCTGTGGGAAGAGCAGATGGGGAGAATCAAAGGATTGATCACTAAATCCCAGCCTTAGGGAAGGGCCCCCCAATATACAAAGCCACATTGCCATTACATGTCAGGCTGCACAAAGCTGCCAAACTGAGGAAGTAAGAACCACATTCATGTGAGAAAGGCTTCGTTAATGCTAATCAGAGTAAAAGTCTCCCAGGCAGACTGAGAGTGAGTCAAGGTGGAGCTGGGCCGGAAGACTTCTTCTCGCACCCACTGAACTCCTCCTCTGTCAGGTTCCCATAGTCTCTCCCATCAAACTATGGCTAAATCAAATGATGGTGCCATGTATTGGGTCACTGTACAATCCAGAAGTGGTTCAATGAATAATGAAGGAACAACGTAAGCTATGGATGTACAGCAGACAGTTTAGCCTCCTCCCAAAACCTGGAAATGAGCAAGATGCAAAAGGAGGTGGTTAAGTCCCTTTCTCTGTCTTACAAATGAAGACTTTATTCAAGCTTAATGCCTGCAAGGAATGGGTCTGCCCTTTAGCTAGCAAAAGGTCTGTGGGTACTTAATTATAGATAGTGGGGTGAAACAGGGTTTCACCATTCAGGTACAGGGACATGTATCCATCCCTCCATCCGTCCAGTATCCAACTGTAGTCAACTAGGACTCCCAGGGGTTAATGACAAAATATATATAATATTAAACTTTCTTGATAAGCAAAAACAAGAAACAGTAACTATCTATGTATAAATAAATAGCAATCCCTTAATGACAGAAAAACCTAAAAGTCCCCATCACCTGGCAAATGCTCCTTGGAAGAGCTCTTTGGCTTCTTCCCAAAAGAGAGGGAGCAAGCTTGACCCCAACTGGGTCCACTTTGCCTCCCCACTCACTTCATGGAAAAGGGATCCTACCAGGGGCTTCTTCCAGGGCAGCAGAGGAGGCTGGGTTAATTCTGTTTGGAGAATATAGTTCTGCATGTTGTTGAGTATCAAGCCATTCAGGGCTTGGTAGGTCAAAACCAACCCTCTAAACTGCACCCAGAAACCAACTGGGAGTAGTGCAGGGCCTGATGCACAGGTTATCAAATGGGCCATTGTCTTTTTGATAACCAGGGGTCTTTAGAGGCCCGTCACAGTGGTCACTGAGGAGGCAAGAGCTGCTGTGCTGAGATCCTCCTACTCCAGGTGCACAATTGGTGTCCCAACTGGAGCTCCTGCTTCTGTAACTGTTGCTGCACAGATCAGCAGTTTGGCTCCTGGCAGCTGAACTGCAAAAACATTTGAAAATGGAAAGGTGGTCCTTACTACCATTGTGCATTTCCTTCAAGAGCTGGTCATGCTGCAGCAGCATTGACACGTCCAGGTCCTGGCCATGGTTGAGGATCTGCTCTATCACCTCCCGGTTCTCATTCAGGCGGAAGTTGAAGTCTCCAAACCAGAAGACGTTGTCAAAGCGGGTCGTGACGTCTGCTGCAGAACCAAGGAAAGGAAGGGGAGTAATTGGAAAAGAGGCTGCAGCATGAAGATTAAGTCTTCCCCAACCACTTACACAGAATTATTGGGGACCTGGGTTTGACCAAGGGGTTTGAGGGTGATATTCATTCAATCTACAGCTTGCAAACAAAATAACTGAAACTAAAATCACTACAAGTTGGAACTCTTTGGAGGAAGGGAAGAGCATAATGTGTGACAGATATTTGTCCATCCAAGTGGGCAGGAATGAAAGTGAAAGAAAACTAACAATGATGCGCAGCAGGGGATCCCTGGCCAGGGAATTCTGGGAGTTGCCAACCCCAACCGCAATACCTAGAAATAACCTAGTGTGCATTATATTTTTGTGTGACTACATCACCTGTTTTGAAACGTAAAGACTATATAACCTGCCACCATTTGCCTGCTCCAGTGCAAGTCTGGGCAACTCTGAAATGTGTGGATTTCAACTCTCAGAATTCTTAGCAATGGCCATGCTGGCTGGGGAATTCTGGGGGTTGAAGTCTACACATCTCAAAATTGCCCAGGTTGGGAAACGCTGGCTGTTCCATCTAATCCTGATTTTATCCCTTAGACCCACATTTGTGCCTAGGCCAAATCAGTGATTACTTTCTAGAAAACATACTTTCCTTCAGGTGCATCATGATGGTGGTGTTTATTTGAAAGAGAAAGTTACATCAACATATGAACAGTGCATAGTGAATAATAATGACAATGCATAGTGAAGTTGAAAATGCATTTTCAAGTGCCAAGTTACTCACAGGAACTAGATCGATATGGGTTGGTATCTGGAATATTTTTTGGCAGCGAAAGAGCCTGGATGGTTTTGTTGTAATCCAGGACCCTCTCATTTACTTTGCCATCTCCAGCTGAAAGAAAAGAAGGCTGCTCAGTGCAAGTTCTAATGGAAAAAAGACACAACACAGCAGCTTCCATTGGAAACGACTTCAGGAGATTTCTCTGTTTGAAGCAGAGGAAAACAATCTTCTCAATGCTGACCCAGATTTCAAGGCTCAGAAGGACCAAAGCTCTGCAAATGGAGCAGCTCACAATATTCAGTTGGACTAAGAAAAGAATCAGGATCAGAGTTCTACTAAAATTATGTTAGAACAATCTCCAACATTCACAATATAAAACCAGAATTCTGAAGATCTGGGACAAGAATGAGGGCCATGGAGCCGTAATACCAGATCCAGAGATTTCAGGAGACACACTCTCCCACTTTCTCCCAGACCTAGAAAGACCAGAACTCCTGGCTGGAGGAAGCAGGGAAGGAGGGGAGCTGGAATTCTAGGGGTGCTGGGTTCTGCAGCAATTCAGATCCTAGATCTCAGGCAGGAGCGTGAACACAGCCTGGCAGTTTTCCTCGTCCCGCTCCCATTCCCCAAAACAGGACTGCTATAAAATCTTAACCCCTGGAGGAAGCAACCTTGTCAAAGTGGCTTTCTTCAATTACAAAAACAAAAAAAATCCTCTGTCTCATAACTCTAAACTTTCTGGGTGTGTCTTTTATTCTGTTTGCACTTATGTTGGAAGAGGAGGGAAAGGCAGTTCACAAGTGCATCACCTGAGAAGTCATGTTCAAACCATTTATTTGAGAAGAAAAAAGTATATGGATTAAACCTGGTGAAGTAGGAACCTCTGATTCTCATGCTGGAAAATTCCCTCATCAGGAACCTTCACAAGTCAGGAGATGAGCAACTACATGGCTGTGGACTCCAAAAACGCAGGGGAAGATGCCCAGGATTTAAGCCTTGGGACTAAGGTATAAAGGGAGAGGAATTTCCGGGTGCTGCTCATTTATTTGTAGACACATGTCTGAAGGTTGAGTCATGGCAACTGGACTTTTCTTTTTTGGTAGAGATGTTTCGCTACTTAAGGGTTAAGGTTGAGGGACAATACTTACTAGCCTATCATGCTAGTAAGAAACACAACCACCCTGGAAAACTTTTATGGGGTCCCCTCAACCAACATTTTTAGACTGAAGAAGCTGCTTGGATAAGTAGCGAAACATCTCTACCAAAAAAGAAAAGTCCAGTTGCCATGATTCAACCTTCAGACAATTCCACCTGGATGACTGAGAATCTTCATAAACATTTATAGACACAGCTTCCTAACTTTCTCCAATAACTCTACATCTCTACCTTTCTTGCATTCGACTGGGAATATAGAGCAGGGAGTTCAATGGGCATATTCTGGCTCCAATGCAGGCATGGGCAGAACGTGGGGGACATACTCACACGTGAAGTGGGAAGTGATGAAAAGGAAGGACGTGCCAAAGAAAGTGAAGCAAATTCCTAGTGCGCCCTTGGTTTTGAACTGAGACACGATGCGCGTTGTCACTGTGGCACATTCTACCTCTGTGGGAAAGGAGAGAAGCAGCAAGGCCTGTCAAAGAGCGCCCAGAAAAACCCGGACTAGCCAGTGCTAGAACAAACAGGCAGCACTTCCCCTTAATACCTAGGGTGAAAAATACTGCAATTAAATGTTTGCTTTTACCTTCTAAGCAGGTGCCTCTTGCTTAACAATGGTTTGGCTTTCTCCCCTTACCAAACAAAAACAAGCTGTCTGGAGATTTAGCAGTGTTCCCACTGGAGTAGTGACTTAAAGGCCACTCAAAGTTTCTCATTGGCCACACGTACCTGAGCAAAACCAGATGAGATCCCTTCGCAAGAAGACCGACATGTAAAGGACACCGTGAGCAGCTGCATAGAACATGACATACTGGGGGCCCAGCGTTTCCTGCAGGCGAATCTCCCACTCTCTCCTGCAGAAGGGAAGCAGAGCCAATTGGCCACTCTGCACTTGAGGAGCTCTGAGGCCAGCAGGTCCAGTCCAAGCTCAAAAAGGACTTCCGTGGCCATCCAGGTTTATTAAGAAGATACACGATCCCTCGGAAGCCCTCTTCACTCTCACTAGTTCCACATGCTTGGAACCCTCCATTTGGTTCCCAGCCTGAGCTCATATGCTTCAATTCCTTGCAGTGACTCTGCCCACATTCACTCTTCTCCTGGATGCCAGCCACTGGTCATGCACACTGAGGATTGTAGACAAATAAAGAGGAAAGGAGAACACAGGACTAATATTGCCAATGGACCCATTGCAGCTTTCTCCCAAAGGAGACCTGTGCTTGCAAGAAGCTTTGTCCTGTTTTAACAGAAAGTTCTGTCTCGTTACAGAAGACGGGAGAGTGCCTGCAATAGCCTCATCCTCTGCAACATAATGATCCTATTCATAGTTGTGTGGGGATTCTCAAGAGGAAAGACCAGAGATGGATGGATGGAAGGAAGGAAGGAGGAAAGGAGGGAAGGTCTCCTGCAAAGTGCTTTCCTTTGTTTCCATACCTATCTGGACAGCCTTCTTGGATCCCTATCACATACATGTCCTGGGCATAATCAGGCTCAGACGGCAACAGGAAGTCATCCAGCACCTCAGGGAGCTCCTGCAAGAAAAAAATGACCTTTCCAACTGTAGATGAGCCCTGCAGGCTCATTTGAGGGCTCTAGCTGGCAACCGAAGAACAAAAGATGAAGCAGGGCACCAAATCTGTTTTTCCTGCATGCAGGATGCAAATAGCTTTCTGTTGATCTGGGGTGGAATACTGAAAATGAACAGATCTGCCATTTTCTGATCTGTCCAGAAAATTAGTCACTTAATCCACATATGAACATTACTAGGAGGATTAAAGGCCACTCTGCTTCTCCTGCCACCCTATGTGCTCCTTGTGAAATGCCGCAGAAACAAATACCTGTTCCAAGGTTCCTATTTCCTTTTCTTTAATTTTCACATCCACAGCCCACCTTTCCTAAACTGAGTTGACCTAGCTGTTTTTCTCCACTGTTCTGTTACATTTCCGTGAAAACTTGTTTGTGAAAGAAAAACTAAAGAGGAAAAAAAACCCCTGTGTATCTGGGAATGGATGAGCTGCAAGTAGATTTGTGGATCCTAGACAGCTGGTTTATCCCCAAAGGCTACACATAACCTCACTAACATGCTTCCAAGATGTTTTGCATTAAAAATATGAACTTTAAATGCAAAATTAGAATCATATAGTGACACTGTCCAGAAATATCTGCAGTGTCCATGGTTTAAAAGGGCAAGTGTTCAGTAACCTTTTTCCAGGGAGAAAAGTCTATGTGAGCCCAACCTGCTGACTCTGTAAGCCAAGCTCAGCTGAGCATATGGCCTGCCCTCCATCCTTCCTGCTTCACAGGAGGAGCGTGTCCAGAGGCAAGATGCTTCCAGAACAACTCCGAAGCTTCACACCTTGTGGAATGTTGAACGGTGCCTTTATTTTCCCTCCTTGACTTAGCCTTGTTCCCTAAGAAAAGTCTGATTATTAGAGAAGGACATTGGAACCCTCACTTCCTCACCTTCTGACCCTGCATATTCCAGGTGGCTACAAAGATGCCAATGCTGCGATCAGGAAAATACCGGTTCAGCTCTTCTGCTCCCAGGAGGGCACCACTAGCAAGAAGGCTGCCTTCCAAGTAGCTTCTGCAGAAAAGGATATTCTGTTGTTGTTGTTTTAAAATAATCTACAGTATTGGTTTACTTTGAAACACTCCTATTGCACCCTCTCCAGCAACATTTTGGGCAGCCAATCGTAGTACCAATAAAAGATGCAGTGACAGCAAGTAAAACTGTGGAAAGTCAACTAATGTAACTTGGGAATGAAAATCAGGACTGAGGAGCCAAATGCATCAGAAAGGAAGTGAGGCAGGCCTTTCTTAGCAGAGTGCTCCGAAGTCGAATGACAGCCTTGGCAAAGGTCTCCTCTGAAAAAAGCTCAGATGGGCATTGGAGTGATGGGGGGACACCCAGATACAGAGAGAGGTCTTCTTCAGTTCAGTGAGACACAGCAGTTAGAGTACTGGGGAGGATGAGTTCAAAACACAGCTCAATCCTGAAGCTCACTAGGTGACTGGGGGCCAATCATTATCTCTCTTTTTAACCTACCTCACAGGATTGTTGCAATTTAACATGGGAAGGTATCCCAGTACTTAAGTTCTTGTGAGAATACTGGGATTTAACAAAAATCAAATAAATTCCACTTTAGCTGGCAACCAAGCTTGTGTGGGACAAGGTTACTCTTAAAAACTCCCAAGTATGAAATTGTATTGAGTCCCAGCCATCACTTCTCCCTGTTGTTAAACACGCCTTTGCCCATTGGCACCAGAAATGTCTGGATCTCTCTGAGGCACCAGTCATTTTTTAAAGTCCTCCCAACTGCTGCAAAGTAAGCTGGGTGGCTTGCCCAATATCCCTTTCCCCATTCTCCCTACCCAAAGCCTGGAGTGAAAAAAATAAAAAACAAAACAAAACACTGTGTTGCAATCAGAATTATCCCACAATGGACAGGTTCTAACTCACACAGGCACACCTCATTTCTGCTAGTTTTCCACCTACAACCTGGGATGTCTGCAAGCAGGGGAGCCTGAAGGACAAAACAGCCATCAAAACATAGTGCCCCAAGAGACCTTGTTATCAAGGAGCCTCTCTAGGACTTTGCCTCAATCTTAGAGAGGTAAAGGTTAGTAAATCCCACAGTCAGTGGTTCCAGGGACAGACCTCCCTGATTTCTCCCTTCTCAAGACTTAAACATATTCCTGATGAATGTGAAACATATCTTCCTCTGGAGCACATGATGATAAACAAAACAACAGCAGGGGCTTCCACATCACATGTTACCATATCCTTTTGTTGGCAACCCAAGGACTGAATCTGAGCCAAAGGTCCTTCTTTTAATGCCAGGGATCTAAGCAGCTGAGTTGGGAAGGCAGGGCAGAGCAGCTTGTTATGCTGTAAGCAGCCCCTTCAACAGACAGATAACTTAAGCAAAACGGTCCTGTTCCAGAAACCTTATTATCTTAAAGTTATACACTGAAGATTGACAGGAATTTCCCAGTAAAGTTCTTGGAGGGGATATTAGATTGCTGCTGATGCATCCTCCTGAGAGAGAAAAAACAACATGGTTTTTCTATTCTACGTTAAGATTTCCCTTACTCAACAAGAATTTGTCTAAAATTACCGCAAAGGCAATGTCCATATCAGAGTGGTTACCACCACCATGGCCCCCTGCTCCAAGGTACGTACCTGTTTCGCACGTCTCTGACACGGATGGGGGCCAGCAGGCTGAAGGTAGATTTCATAGAGGTAGCCAAACAGTGCTCACAAGCCATTCCACGACTCTGAAGCTGTGTGTCGCTCCAGCTGCTGCCTGCTCTTGGAAAGATGCTCCGGGAACCAAACTTGTAATCCGCACAATCTGGGTCAATCCTATTAGTTGTCCTCAGAGAAGGAAAGGAGCCCTCAAGTTCCAGAGGGGGTGGAGGCTGGGTGGCCAAGACCTTGGACAACTTCCTGGGTGAAGCAGAAAGGCTAAGCCTGCTTTGACTGATGTGGGGAGCCTTGGAGCCTTGGTACAAGTTGTGCCGAGGCTGCAGATGGTGATGGTTGCCACTGGAGGCTACTTCCTGCTTGGTAGGGCTTTCTTCCTGGAAAGATCCATCAGAGGATCCCCCCTCAGTTGAGTCAGCCGAGTTCTCTTGATTCATTCTGAAAGGCCTCCTCCTCCGCCAAATCAGTTCATCAAGAGACGACGTCCGCTCCAGCCTCGGTTTACGGGGAGGCTTTGGGGTAAATGACTTAAGCCCAGTAGGGGTTTGGGATCCATCTAGCTGCAGTCTGAAAGTATCATTGGAAAAGGGGGGCTTGATTTCTTGTGGATCCTTGGAGAGATGATCCCCGCTGTTGCCTGCCTCCTTCCTTGCTGAGTGGCCATCCTCTTTTGGCCGTAGGATTTGGGGCCCATCACTTGAGATATGCTCCATTGTCTGCTGTAAGAATCCATTAGATACACCAACTACTGTATGAGGAAGTCAAAGAATCACTATTTCTTACTAGCCAACAAGAAGTTTCCATGAGTGTGGAAAAATATGAAGAGGAATATGAGAAACAAAAATGGTCAGGGAAGGAATCCCAAAAGGTTACCCACGTTGGTGCAGCACTTTGCATCGCCCTTAGAAATGTTAATGACAGAGGTTAGCCAAGCCTTCTGTTTTAATTGCAAAATTTTTAAACCACCCAATGGATCCACTCTTAAAAGATACTCCTAGTATTAGCTGGGTCATTCCCATTTTACAACTAGAGATCAGAAGCTTAGGAAGTAAATCAGAACTGCAGGAAATTATTATTAGGGCAGATTCATCAGGGAGAACACTATTTACCCCACTGTTAACTGATTTATTATGAAAATCGCAAGGTACCTCTTAAATACATCATACATACTCACACAGTTCTCAATCTCTTTAAGGCTTTAAAAAAGTCTGTAGTTTATACCCAGCAACAAATGTCAAGGCAGGAGTATCAAGGTGGGCAAAATACATTTTATGATTGCATCCATACAACACAATTCATACAACACAATTGGTTATGGATGTAATGCACTGCTGTATGCCGCCCAGAGTCACTTTTTGTGAGATGGGCAGCCATATAAATTTTATAAATAAAGTGTCTGGATTGACAAAATACATGAAGCGCATACTACTATAATCAAATGGGCTGGTTTTATTAAAAAAAATGCTAAGCCTTCCCAAACACTTAACCCAGGTTAACACTATCCTGGCTTAACATCTGATGTTAATACAACATCTAGGTTTCTAACTGACTTGGTTAAGCATGTTGTGTGACAGCAATGAGCCAACCACAGCTTCCAAATATACTTTAGCGGCTTACATCGGAATGAAGTAATGCAACTCAGTATGCAGACAGTTGAATGCATGCTTGTGACAAATTATGTAAAAAATTTTCAAGGTTGGTAACTGGTTACATTATAACCTCATCAGTGCACTATCTTTAGGCACCCAGAGCTATCATTCACATTTGGGATAGGGGATGCAGTGAGGAGATGCAGCGAGCAGGCATAGGTTACAAATGTGGGAGGGAACACTATCTTTGTGTGCTCTCTGCCTCAAAATGGCAGAAAACTGAGCTGCTATTATCTGCAAAAGCCATCACAGAGGCCTCCATGGCCTGGAAAAAAGGTCATGGGCTACAGGCCATTCACCCTTGGGTGACTGCCACATGCCCGCCTGTCCAATCGTGCCCCAATCAAACTTTCAAAAGGAAGCCAAATGGAAGCCACCGATAGTGCAACCAGAGTTCTATCAAACCTGAGACTTATGTAAGAAGATCTTATGTAAAGGGAAAGAAACTGATTAAGGAGTGGATTCATGAGTCTGTTATCTATTTTTGAAAAGTCTTTGTATTCTAAAGATGAAAAGACAAAGCAATATGTCTCTATAAGGTCTAGAAACCTTATACTGTTGGGGGGTTCTTTGGTGCCTTTGAGACAGTTTTTGACTCCTGCCAACTGCCTGGACAATTCCCTGCAGTTTTCTTGGCAAGGTTTTTCAGAAGTGGGTTGCCATTGCTTCTTTTCTAGAGCTCTGGGAGAGTGACTGGCCCAAGGTCACCCAGCTGGCTTTGTGCCCACGGCAGGACTACAATTGATGGTCTCCCGCTTTCTAGCCTGGTGTCTTAACTACTGTGACAAACTGGCTCTAGTGTAGTTTAATTAGTGCAGGGCATGTAGGCTTTTAAAAATGCATTTTTGCTGGTATTCCTGTCTGCATGCCATTATATATTAACACAGCAATCACAGTGTGAAAGTGAATAGCGTTCACCTGCATGCTTTTATGTGCATCATCCAATAGAGGCATACCTCGTTTTATTGCGATTCACTTTATTGCACTACACAGATATTGGGGTTTTTTTTTACAAATTGAAGATTAGTGGCAACCCTGCGTCAAGAAGTGTATCAGTGCCAATTTTCCAACAGCATTTGCTTACTTCATGTCTCTGTGTCACATATTGGTAATTCTCACAATATTTCAAATTTTTTGTTATTATTTATCAGATGATGATTAGCATTTTTAGCAATAAAGTATTTATTAATTAAGCTACATATATTTTTTAAGACCTAATGTTATTGCACACTTAATAGACTACAGTATAGTATAAACATAACTTTTATATGCATTTGGAAACCAAACAATTCATGTGACTTGCTTTTTTGCGATATTCTCTTTATTGGGGTGGTCTGGAACTGAATCCACAACATCTCTGAGGTATGCCTGTACATCCTTTGATGCACTGAGGATTACCTAACTTGGCTGGTGGCCACTCCAAATCCAAATCACTTGGACTGTGTCTACCACCACCACTCTAAGGCAAAATCACATGCCCCCTCAAGATCCACGGCTGCAAGTCAACACATTGATGCAACCAACTAGGTAGGCCAATGTGCTTCCAGAGACACAGGGTGATCCAGTATCCAGGGAGAGAGACCTGCATCCTCCAGACTTGATTTCGAGTCCCCCTAAAACCACTTTTGCTCACCCTCCATTCCTCATCTACAACATGGGGAACAGCACAAACCAAGCTGGAACAAAAACCCTGCTAAATAACATTATCCACTGATCCAGATTTTGAACAAAGAAGGCCACAGATCCACTTTATGCTAGGTTTCCAAAAGAATTTAAGAATTCTTCCTGTCCTCCTACCACAGCTTCCAAATTTTTGTTTCCAAGCATAATGCAACAAATGTAAGTGCAGGCACACCCGTCATCCACGCCCACGTGGATATTTTATTTATTTTATTTATTTATTAAATTTTCAACCGG